TAGAGAATGAAGCCAGTGGCGTAACCGGATCATTTTCCTCCTCGATATACTTTGTCAATTACGCGAGCGTAGCGAGTTTATATTTCTTCTTGCCTCTCCTCCACCTTCCTCGCAACGTGCAAATTAATTAAGTTTAAGCGCAGTGTTAATGTTTAAAAATTGTTGCGCCTGTCACACTGCGAGAAGGAAAAAAGAAAGAGAAGCAAAGGGGAATCAATATGTGAAATATACAGGTCAGAGAGGAAAGAAGGTAAATGGGCCGCGCGAGTGTATTATATATATATATAATACACGTATATACATGCGGACGCGTCTATTTGTGATCTAGGAAGAGTCCCTGACATTCATAAATAATCACTCATCATTTAATAGCACATGGGATAAAAAAACTCTTTATCGAGGAATAAAAGCGGAGCGTCGAATATATTGGAGATACGCCGAATGAGTTATTATTAAAGATGTATTCTGTTCCTACTACCATTAGCCTCCGCGTTAACAAAAGCAGCGGCACGAATTTAACATTGGAGCTGGCGAGAGCGAGAGAACGATGTGAAATGGTGCGCGCACGGGGAGGACGGAAAGCGAGCGACTGTTCCCTGCGGGAAGGGTACTTGCGACCCAGTTTCACCCTCGCAAGGTGGCGGCAATCGATACTGCGCCTAAGGGCCGCATGAAACGCGATCGCAGTGCCGCTGCTGTGCCGAAAGCGAGAATTGGGACTTGCGCATGCCTGCGTTCGTCCGGAGCGACCTGGAAAAGCCTAATTAATTCCCGACGTTTTGGAAACTTACCGTCGGCGTGCGAGCCACTTTCATTTTACGATCCCCGTCCTCCCATCATCGGCCATATTGAATCGTGATGTCAGAAGCGAAAAATCACGTGAATTACTTCCCGCACACATACGCGTACATTCACGTTAATTTCCTCGTGCATCAGCAGCACAGATTCGTCGAACCCTGATAAACAGTTTTTCATGTACAAATATATAGTATTATATAAAAATGTACCTCAAATTTGTCCATATATTTTTTTTCATTGTATATTGCTATATATATAATTCTGTACAATTCTACGCCGCTCTATATACTTTTACAGATCTATGTATACATGCTTTTATGTGAAAACTTTTCAAAAGGAAAAAAAATTACTTATTATAATTGTATATAACTTTGTACAATTCTGCACAATTCCATACAATTATAAATAAGCAATTTTAAATATTTTTCACATAATAGCATGTATAAATTTATAAAATTATACAGAACTGTGTAGAATTGTATAAAATTATATAGAAATACGCAATGTAAAAATATGTATGGACATATTTGATGCATATTTTTGTATAATTCTACATGTTCATTCGTGTTCACAAATGAAACGTTCTTTACAGGGATGTACCAGATTCCTTTTTCAATTTGTAAATTAATAAATTACAGTTTGAAATCCCGATCGATTGTTTCAGTTTTTGAAAATATGGATCATGAAATGTGAATCGAATTGTTACCTACATTTAACGCGATATAAATAGAGTCCTTCGATTTATCACGAACGCATTGCGGAACAAGACTGATTTACTTTAATTACTAACAGATTCGAACTACTTTGAGATATCCCAATCCCATCGATAATTATAATACTGCCTGCGTGTATATGCAAAACATATATGTGTACGTACAAATGTCCACGATCCAAGAACTTGG